AACAGGCATTTAACCCTCGAGCTTCTCATGGGAAATAAGGCAGAAACTGCTTATTCACTTAGTCATAATTACCGTTTTCGCAGGTCTCAGAGGAATAGCTATTCTCTCTCAGTCTCTGAGGACAGTCCTGACTTCCCAAAGGCTGCCCCAGCAGCTGACTGAGACAGCCTGCAACATGATCTTTACCCGAACAAAAAAAGTCTCGCTGTTTGATCCATTCTTTGCAAACTGAGAGGTGAGCCTCTCCCTCACATTCTGGTGAGCCGGCACAGCAAGCGGGAGGCGGATTCTGGGCACCTGCTCTTGAATCCTGCCTTGGCCACTCTCAGCTGTCACCGGGTCACTTTCTCTAGCCGCCCTGGTGAGGCTGGACACCACTTACCTGGCAGCCCTGACGGGGGAGGGGGGGGCGGTGACAAATGCCCTAATTACACAAACTGCGCCGCAGAGGGTAAGCACTCAATAAATGGCAGTTACTGTATTACCACTTCACGCACCTTCAGCTTCTCTACCCTTATCTGGGCCACAGGGACCCCAGGCATCCTGTTCTGTGCGGCCATGCATTTCCTACTCTGCCTGCCATCCACCGACTGATAAAGACCTACACTTCCCTTCTCGAAGCCTTGACACCTCACCCAACAGTCCCCATCCTTGTCCAAACAGACGTTTGGCAAAGCCCAGTTCAGTGTACTGAGGAAGCGCCTTTAAGAGGCTGTCTCTAAGAACACGTTGTATATGAGAGCTGGGGCTCCCTGTGCCTCTCAAGAGATCTACCGGGCCCTTGAGTCAAAGCGTTGTGCAATGCATGACTTGGGCAGACAGACTTGAGAGCCAAAACTAATTGCACTGAAACATCCATTTCTAAGAACTGACGACTACACGCAGCACTTCATCTTCAAGTCCCTGGCACAAACTAACTTTGACCGAGAATGAAATAATTACTGTAGGATCAGAACAAATCACATTGTGAATGTGTACCTCCACGAAAAAAGCTAGAACGCCACTGCTGTTTTATAGAGAGAGGCACTCCCACCAACAACAGAGAAGACTTGCTTCCTGCAGTTCTTACAACACGGACTTTTCAGTTCAAAGTCAGGCTGGAGGCCCAGGAGAGTGGGTGCAGGCACAGAACACCCTACACACCAAACGGGTGACTATTTCAAGTAACCCACTGCTCACTCACTGACTGGCATTAGGGAAGTTATGGGAGAAACTCCATTTCCACAAAAGAAGAAAAATGAGCTATTTTTCAGATCAATTACATATGGTAGTTTTACAAATAGGAAGATGCCAACTTCCACATTACCATGTGTAATATGGCTAGATAAGCTCTTCAAAGGGGATAATTAACAAATGATTGTAAAACTCTTTTCAAACATGTGTTCTATGAATACAGACTAAGAAAAGCCATTCAAATGCTATCTGCCTGCAGTTAAATAGAATCATTAGCAACTGTACTTTAAAGTAAGCATCTTTCTTGGTTCAACTCTTTATTTCCCACTGGACTGTAAGCCCCTTGAAGGAAGGGACTGTGGCAGGATTCATCATAGCATCCCCATGCCTGGCTCAGAGAAATGGCTCTACAACCATGCACTGAATTAGTTTAACAAAGGGTATCAAAAATGTCCTTAAGGACTGTCTAAATGCTCCCAAAAAGTTATAAAGAATCTTAAAAATGTTGTTTTCATACTTCCTATCATATTGTATGAATATGTTGAAAACACTGGCTTTGCAATCGATGATTCAAAATCTTTGATGTCCACTAAAAAAAGAAATGAGACTCCAGGGGGAAAGTTCAAGCGCATGTTACTCAACCCCTTTCAACTAGGTGTGATTTCAGTTAAATTCCCTTCTGTTTGGAAAAGGTTAAATGAGGAATAATCCTGGGGCTGGCTCCATAGCCCCCGGGCTTAACATGTTGACCCTCTGTACGCCTTAGCTTACCAATCAGACCCTACTAGATAGTACTTCTCTAACGTGGCATAAAACAGCAGGCACACACACCTGAATGCTCCTGTTTTTAACTGGGCCTGTGGGCAAGTCCGTGGGCCACAGTTTACTATTCTCAATAGATCCCATTATTAGCTACATTAGCTCAACAACTATCTCAGTAAACTAAAGCAGCTATGTAATTCGAACAAAGAGTCAGCTTTTACAGGAGTTACGCTCATTGGTTCTTTAATTGGATAATGTGTCAACACAACAGAATGGCTGCCTCTTGCTATCCCAGAGGTAAACTCTCCCTTGGGCAGAATGTGCCAGTTTCTGAGATTCTGCCATAATAGGCAGCAGACTGCAGCTCCAGCATTTCATTTAAATTAGCTCGGTATTGTTTGGTTCTGTGGCTTTTCTGTTTAAGACTGTAGAAAAGCCAAAGTACCTAAAATAAGGAAGCACACAGATTACTACAATGACTTCAAGAAATTAGCTGGAAATAAGAAGTCATTAGTAATAGGCCAACAAGTTTAATGCTTCTCATGCAGGCACTACAAATACTAATACAAACATCTCTCCCAAGAATACCAAAGACAGGTGATCACATGGCTTACTCCAAAATGAAGCTGAGATAGGAACTCTTATCAGAAAACTGTTTTTTTGACCGCTATCCTTTACCAACAGAGTGAAATCACACTAGTGATTTGAGTCATTAGGCTCTGGCATCTTAACATGAAATTAACGTTCTTACCTTATCTAGAAATCCCCCAACCTCCCACCCCAAGCCCAAAATTGAGCAGGTAAGCCACTAACTGTCATCCAGTGGTAGAGAATAATTTGCAAGATGTTTCACCTGATAATCTCAATGGAACAGAATCCTAACAAGGAGTGGCTGTTACTGCGTAAATGCTCAGTTACAAAACTAAAGCCAAAGCCAGTTGAGATTAATAGAAAACAAATAAGAATCCCTGAAGGAGGTTCCAAGAGCCTAATTTAAGAGTCTATTTTAAAAAACAGCAACAGAATAACAATTACTAAGAGCTGTTTCCTAAAATTACTCTCCTGTTGCTATTTCTCAATTCTAAAATGTCATGAGAAATACGCTTGCTGCCACTAATTCGGCCTAAAAAGAAAGCATCACCAAAGCATACCACCAAAAAACAAAGACATTCATACAAGGAAGTGAATACCCTATGCACATCAGTATGTTCTCAAGAGGGATATGAAAAAAGCAGAAGTCTTATTAAATTCAAAACACCACGAAAAACAAACGCACAGAAGTTCCTAATTTTAGTAATATTATATATTCCACCCCCCCCCAAAAAACTGCCCATGAGTAAAGATTTGTTGCTTTTACATATAGAAACCACATATTTAGAACTCTCTGCCCTTTAGGAAGAGTAAGAAAAGCAAGAGAAAAATTAAGCATTTTTATATGACATTCTTAGAAATGTAGCTTTTTAATGAAATCCGGATTTGATTTGGGGGTTCTTGTTTTACTTAGCTTCCATTTGCCAGAAATTTTAAACAGACTAATTTTCAATGAGCTTCAGATGTTATGCTCCGAGTAGGCGTGTTAATTTCACAACACTGGGAAAGGGCTGCCCTCTCCCCTATTCACTGTTTGGCATTGCTTATCAAAGCACACCCTTCAAAACCAACAAGATGCATAGGCTAAGAAAGGCAAGCAAGCCACAAATACCTAGCATGTATTCATTTACACAATTTGGTTTTTCACAATAACTCAAAGTCATTAGTAATGAGGTATTTCCTATACCTCAGGGCTCAGGCTCATGAATGGACTTGTAAAAAAAAATCTGGCGGTTTTCAATTAGCATTAAAAGAAAGATTTTTTCTTTCTTCATGTCAAGGTAACATGTTAAGCAATTTTAGGTGTGTAATCTTAAAGGACTGATGCTTTCAACAGAGTAGAGCTTTGGTTTAGACTCCAATATTTTACAAAATTGCATGGTTTCAAATTCACTGTAGAGAAGACGCCTCATGTTTTCATCAATTCCACCAAGAGCTATTTAGCGCCACATCGGAGATACAACTCATGATGTATGTAATTAGGAAAGAAGCTAGGAGGAAAAATCCAACCCTAATCAGTGCATACACTATTTGAAAATTACTACTGATCTGATGAACGCTCTTTTCTGGAGGTGCCAAAGATATGAACCAGTGAAGTTTTTAAGGGCTCATCAATAACAAATTATTTTCAAGATAAAATTACAACTTGGTATGGACCTCACCCAACCCCTTCAATCGGGCCCTTCTTTAGGTATTTAAACAAGTTCCCGTCTGCAACCATCCACTCGATGTACGTTTTGAAGTGAACCCAATTTCAACCTCTTAATAAAGTGTCACCGGTGCACTGGCAAGTTGAGGAAAGCGGTGCAGGCGACACACTTAGCCCCAAAGAGAACACTGAGTAGGTCACAATTCACTCCTTACTGCCTGGGGTCACCAAGGAGGGCAGGAAGCAGACTAGGCTAGTGGACCTCCAGGGGACCAGGCCCTGAAAACTGCAGCTTAATCGGGGACAAAAGGCCGCGCGCCAGCTAAGGAGCCCAAGAGGGGGCTGAGCTGAGGACGGAGTTGGAAAGGGGGACAGCGGGAAGCAGGGACCAGATGGAGCACCGGGGAGCCACGGGCACCGGGCAGAGGGGACCAAAGGATGGGGAGGGACGGAAACACAGCAACGGGGCAGGGGGGACCAGGGGGATGAGGTTGGCCGAGACAGGGGTGGGACAGGAGGGAGGGACAGCGACGGATCTGGTCCCGCGCAGTGGCACCCACATCCCGAAGCCGCTGGCTGGGGCGCTCCCGCGCAGCGCGCGGGGCACTTCGAGGCGCTCTCTCCCGGAGTCCCCCAACAGCCCTCCGACGCCCCCTTCCAGAGCCGGGTACGGCGAGGCCCGCCGGCAGCGCCGGGTACCTGGGGTCGCCGGCCGGAGGCAGCCGCGCAGGGCGCCAACCCTCCCGGACGCGGGGGGTCGCTGGCGGCCGCGGGGGAGGGGGGGCGGCGGCCTAGGGGGAAGCGGCGCGGGCCCGGGCGGCCGTACCTGGGCTCGGGCAGGACGATCTTCTTGCTGGCGCGGGCGGCCGGCGTGGCCTTGCTCTTCTCCATCGCCATCAGGTAGCTGACATCGGCCAGCACGGCCTCCAGGTCCGCCATGTTGGCGAGCGGCGGCGGCGGCTGCTCCTCGGGCCCCGGACGGGACGCGCTCCCGCCGCCGCCGCCCGCCGCGCCCCGACGTGGGGGGGCCGCCCCGGGGCAGCCCCCCCCCGCGAGCCCCCGCCCTCCTAGCGCCCTGCGCCCCGCTCCGCGCCCCGCGCGCGCCGCCGCCTCGCGCCCGCCGGGGTCGCGGCGCGCCGCCCCGCCCCGCCTCCCCCCGCGCGCGCGCGCGCGGCCCCGCGCACGCGCCGCCCCCGGCCCTGCGGAGAGCGGTCGGCGGGGCGCGCGCTCCCGGCCGTTGGCGCCCCTCCGCGCCCCGCGGAGCAGCCTGCGGCGTCCCGGCCCTTGCCTCCGGGCAGAGTCCCCGCGGGCGCCGTGCCGCCCTCCCCTCCTGGGCAGCCGCGAGGGACTTCCTCTCCTCCCCCGCGGCCTCCTCCCCACTCCCCGCCCCCAGCGCCCGCGCTCTCACGCCTCCTATCCGTCGCCCGGACCCTGCGAGCCGGCGGTGCCTGCGATCGACGCCCGCCGCCCAGGGGCCGCGGGGAGGTCTCTGTGCCCTGGACGCGGTAGTTCTCAAACCGGACAGTGTCAGTCAGCATTCCTCCAGGAGTCTGGGGCGGCCCCAGAAATGCGCGTGCCCCATCTGTCCCCGCAGGTGATGCGGCCACCCCGGGACAGCGCCCACCCCGCCGGCCCCCAAGCTTCGCTCTTGATACCAATCCTGAACATCCCCCCGTAAGCTCTGCAAAGGGCAACCAAAGAGCTAGAGAAAGTTGCGTGTCGCATGCTAAGCGGGCCAAAGTGGGGTGAGAGCTCCGCCGTGGGAGCGGAGTTCTTAGGGCGCCCACTGATGAAGGACCTCGCCGAACAAGGTGGTGACCGCTCCCTAGCGCTCAGCGGAGAGGTTTGAGTTCGGGTGAGTCCCTGAGACCTTGAACTAGTATTTGGGCCCTGGTGCTTTTACCATCAATTCAAGAGACAATTAGGGAGCTTCTGAGCGCACAGACCTACCACAAGGGTTATTTAGGGAAGTGGAAACCTAAAGCCCAAACACCAAGGCAGGAGGGAATTTCCAGCTTCCTGATCCTGGGTCTCGGTCTCGGTCTCGGTCTCGGTGGCTGGTTACCACTCCCCACGCCCTCGTGGGGTTTTCATTTGTTTCTTATTTTTTCACAGCTGTACACACAAGTCCACGTTCAGGACCCATGCAGCACTCGGCTGGAGTGGTGTCAAGGGACAACCAGGAAGTCTTCAGAAGACCTGAGCTGGCAATTAATTCTTTAACCCTTTAGTTCATGCCGCTGGTCATACCAGCCTAGACGTTACTAGGATTTGAGAAAATGTTCGGTCAGTAGCTTCTGGGGTTAACAGAGTTTGCCAGAGATGGTTAAGATCACGTCTTGGGTAGTAAATGTAAGGTCAGAGCAGAAGCAGCCTGCTTTGGTCAGCCCAAGAAAACTGCTTGCTTTTGTTCATTCTCTCCCTCCCTCTCTTTCCACCCCCCACCACCCCGGTCTGTTTCCTTGTTACGCCTGCCATCACGATTGGCCGGTTTTACCAGACATTTGTCAAGATCCAAGGCACAATATTCATAAAGTTGTCCACAGGGCAAGAGGGATGTAAAAAATAGAAACGTGAGTTGAAGAAGCTCAGGCAGTAGAAAGCCAAAATCACACGAGAACATAAGACACACTAATGAGACAAAGATTTGCATGACCAAATATCAAACTCTCCTCTTCCACCCACTTTTTTTTTCTTCTTTGCCAAAAAACAGGAACACAGGCTGTCTTGTCAAGGGTCACTCCAGGAGGAGGAGGGGTAAGTTCCCAAAAAGGCATAACACATTTTTATGATTTGATTAACATAATTGCTTTCACTATGTCTTTTTCTTGTTCAGCTTTCGTACAATCAGATCACCCAATAAACATATACTCTTGCCTACCTTTTCACAGTCTTTGAAATACTGAGATTTTTAACCTTCCTTCCTTGACTTTCGTTAAGAATTTTGTTGGTGGTGGAGGGTTTTTTGTTTTGTTTTCTTGTTTCTTTTGGTTTGGTTTTTGGGGGTTTTTTCACTTGGGGGTGTTTTGTTTGGTGGTTTGTGTTTTTTCACAACTTGGTGGTGTCGTAAGTTTGTAACAGGAGACACACCTGAATTCAAATCCCTGCTCTGCTGTGACTAGTGGGGTGATCTTAGAGGCAACATTTTATCTCTCTGTGCTTTATTGTTCTCATCAATACCGTGGCAGTGAGGCCCAGGCCAGGAGAGAGATAATCCACGAGGTGCGGTGCCTGTCACCCAGTAGGGCCCCAGCAAAGGTCACTGCCCTTCCTCTTATTTATTTTGCTTCGTTTCACACTAATATGCTAGGTACTGAAACTAGTCAGTCATGACTCTTGAAGCAGGAAGCCCCCTTACCATAAATAACATCTCCCTAGTGCATTTGGAGGAGCCAAAATTGGCCAAAAAAAATGATAAACCTTTATAACATACACTAGTAGAAAGAACAAGATGTACATAATTGGGTCCCCTAACTGTAGCCTCCCCACCATTGCAGTCAGCTGACTGGAGCGCCCAGGGGTATTATCCCTTAGTATTAATAGCGTGCAAACCCCAGTTTCCTGGCTCTCCCCTTGACTCTCTCACTTTCTCCAGCCCCCTCCTCTCTTTCCCTTGCTCAATGTTGAACAGCTTTGTGTGTTAGCTGCAAACAAAAGGCGCTAATGACAGTGATGAATCTGTCATAACTGACCTGCTGGATCCTGTGGTTAAACACCATCGCCAGCCTGTAATCATTACAGGGGAACAGAGACAACAAACAGCAACTCATTTGTACTTAGCCAATAATGCTCCCTTGCAAATAATTATGCCTCCCACCCTCCTCCTCCCCCAGACCATTTAAATGACTGGGCTCACGCTGCTTGTGATAACAGAGAGAACTCCTGAGTTCCTGCAATGTTCATAATGTTCTCTTTTTCTCTTTTCTCTGACTTCCAGTAATTAAGGGAAAGGTTGCTGAGATACATGCATTAAAGTTTATACTCTTCAGGGTTTTTTTTTCCCATAACACCTTTAAATGAAAGAGCTAACTAGAGAGCTAATGGGTCTTTTTTGTTTTAGATTCTGGGCTTTGCTGGGACTTCCTACTCGTGGTGACAATCCTGGACTGTAAAAGCTGGGGGCAGAATGTTGGGGGTGTCATTCTGGGAAATTAACCAAGCACACATGAAAAAAGTCAACTCTAAGACTCAAAGTAGAAGATCTTTGAGGCCAGCAGAACATGCCTGGCTTTAATTCATTAATGCCACAATATCGAATTCGATCCCTGCTAAAAGAGACATGACTTTGGTAACCAGTCTTCTACAAACTGTTGCTTTTCAAGAAAAAGCACACCCCGTTGGAGTTTGAACAAGTTCATTTCCAAACATCTCACTCTGTGAATTCTGCAAATATTTCTAGCCATACCGGAGCCACTGTCCATTTCACCTGTAACTTGGATGACAATTCTGCTCATTGTCACACGCATCATATGGATTGCTTTTCATGCTATTTTATCACCAAAGCTTTACAAACTTTAATAGTGACTCTATACATAGCAACTCAATTCATTAGAAGATTGGCTGAAAGGTATGAAAGCTTGATACCAAGCTTTATAGAGCATTGAAATGATGTTCAATACAGAAATGCTTTCCTTTAAATATGTGGGTAGAAACACATTGCTGTACGGGGTCTCCTGATCAGAGAGGGAGTCCCTCTTTAAAGAGAAGCCGTAGACTGTTGTGGTCCAGACTGTGGGCTCAGGAGCCAGATGGCCAGAATTAAGACCCCAGTGCCAATACTTTTGAGGTGTGTGACCTTATACTAGTTTTTTAATCTCTCTGGGCCTCAGCACACTCTCAGTGGTATTAATGGGATTGTCGTGAAAAGCACTTAGAATAGCGTCTGGCACATAGAAAGCACTCAAAAAATATCACTGATACCCTGGTCGTCACTGGAACATCTCTGCATCATAAAGGCAGGATGGAAGGACCAGTCCTGGATTGCAAAAGCGGTATGGGATGTGACCCACTGGCTGTGGCATCGCTGAGTAATCGGAAGCAAGCCTCTTAAACTTTTTAAGTCTCACTTTCCACCACTGCCTAATAAAGGAAATGAATGAGCTGGTCCCCGAGGTCCCTTCACTCTAAAATTCTCTGGCTTTATTTAATCCTACAGTGAACCCCTGTACAAGGTGATTAAGACTCATACCCTTCAATAACATCTCGTGAGTTTCAGTTTTACTGTAGGAGGGGATTCCGAGGGCATTAATAATTCTTACCATTGCCACAGTTCACATGTGAGGTGAGCGACGCAGTAGCAGGTTTCTAGAATAAGCATGTTTTTATTTGTTCCTCCAGCATCTATGCTTAGCACACTGACCTTACTCAATAAATGTGTTGAATGAATAAGTGAAGAATGAATGACGTAAAAATTGTAGATAGCCTCAAAGAGACTTCTATTAGAGATTACCTCAAGGGAGGGAAAAGATGCTACTTAAAACCACAAGAACCTACTAAAAAGGGTGCATACGGATGAAGGAGTGCTGACCACCAGGTCCTTCCTGGTCCTTGCTGCTGCTAATGGCCTGGAAGGCTTCTCCAGCCACTTAGAGCTTTGATGTCCTTGGGCTATGCAAAGGTGGGTCTGGGGAGGGAGAGACCCAAATCCCTTTGGCTAACACAAGGACTTGGAAGAGAACTTGAAGGAAGGAGTAAGAGAAAGCAGAGAGAGCCCAAGGCCAGGCACCCCATGGGCTGGGTAGCCAGTGAAAACCGCTGCATGGGGGCTGGTCCAGAGAACATTCAGGAATAGAAGTGTGCTGTCTTCCGTGCCATTTTAAGCTTGCTGTTCTGCACAGCCTTGACCCTTACAACTTGATGGCTTGTGGTTGTGGGTGCTCTGCCAGGGGTCGCAGGGGAGATAGGGAGCCAAGCCCACATTGGGATCAACACCAGTGAGGAATGAACAGCCAGAAGACAGAATAAGAACTCGGCAAAGAAGGATTCAGGGCCAGGGTGACGTTCACAAAGTGGACTCCCCACAGTCCGCA